TATATATATATATATATATAGTTAGTACACAATAAAATCCTAAATTACCTCATATGGGGAATAGGCATATTTCAACTGACAAAAAATTTATCAGCTTTATTCAATCTTAGTATAGACGGATTTTGTGTAGAAATTAGAAATTTAACTGTGATAGCTACAAAAAAAAAAAAAAAAAACTAATACAGAATTTATCCATTTCAATGTTTCAGTCAGACAAAAGGCATAAGACAGTAGTCAGGGGAAGGTGGTATAATTTATTTTCTCTTATTTTTATTTCTAAATATTTTTTATTCTTTTTTTTTTTTATAACCTATCGATTTTATATTAAATATAAATTATTTTAAATATAATTTTAATATAAATTATCTAAACATGACTTATTTTTAATTTATTTAAATATATCTTATTTTTAAATATAAGTTGTCTTTGGAAGAGTATTTTTAGTATGATTTTGTAATTTTAAACATAACTTTATATAATTTAAGGTTTTTAAAAAAAAAAAAAGAAACCTTTTTGTTCCACTCTTAATTGCAAATTAACATTTCATTCTTCATATAACCCCAAATTAATGTCATAAGGTTAATATCTAGGTTTAATTTTATAAAACTTCTTCCCTTTAAGATAAAGGTAAAAACCCTAGAACCCTAAAAAACTGCATCTATGAACACAAGAGATACCTCTGTTGGGATAACCCACTAAAAACTTTAGTAACACATAGAAATAAAACAGGACATAAGTTTGATTTAAAAAAATGACAACCTAATAAAAAAAAAGACAGTACATATCCTATTACAAAGAAAATATCTAGCAGGAATATTAATTAATATCCTTCCATCAATAAACACACACACCAAACACAACTTTTTCACATTACCAACATTCATAAAGCCTATAATTAAAGACTGTAAGACCCAGGTATTTGCTGACAATTCATCACCCCTATAGTTGCTGGAAAGTGAGGGTTAGGCAGTTCCAGCCCAAATATGACAGCAATACACCATTTTTAGTTAGATGGAGTCTGGTACTTTCTGGAGTGGTATAAGGAGCCAACTATTTTCCCACCATTTTTGGTGATGGATCATATATATATATATATATATATATATATATATATGTATGTTCCAAAGCAAACTTATGATCAAAATTTACCATGTCATTATATAATTAACCATTTGTAAGAAAAAAAGTTTTGACATATATAATAAATTCTACCCATGATATCACATACTACATAAACAGCTAATTCTTATTCACTATGCAAAGAAAAACATACAAAGAAAAAATAAATAAAAGAAGCAAAAAATAACTTTTTTTTTTTTTTTTTTTTAATAAAACAAAGTCAGCATTTAAATTATTAAAATAAGAAAGAAAATTATAATTTTCTTTTTTTGTCATGGAGTTCTTCTGTGTCCTGGCCCGACTTTCGGTCACGGCAGAATTTCACAAACGAATAATAAATATCAAAACCTAAAGATAGTGTATTGTCATAGAGGACTCTATATCTGTTTGGTAAAAAGTAAAAATTGATCACTTGTGCTGGAGGCCATACTAACCAGTCTGCCAGCAACAATGGTCTTCCACATTCTTGGAATTCCACCAACATTTCCTGCAGAGAGGACTTCTCCAAGAATCCAAGTGTTGTCAAGAACAGGAAAATCATGACTGGGGCACAAAAGATCTGATCAAGGACCAGTTTTTTAATGATCACATTGAGCGCCCGTCCAGGCAAATAATTGTCTAGAAATTTATACCAAAAGTGGCATGGTGGCCCTAACACCAGCCCTGTTATAGACACATGAAATGTTCGGGTTTTGTTCCAGTTCTCCTGTCTGTGAATTGCAATCTCGTATGACTGCTGCATGATATCCCCTAAACTGGATAGGGATGCCGTGATAGTCATGTTCGTCAGTAAAAGGTATTTGGGTGAAAACAGCACACGGACTTTGGAAGTCATTTTGCCAAACATTGACCGGGTAAATGCAAGCAGAATCATGGCTATCAGCTGCAAGACAGAGGAAAGTGTGTTTAGAGCTTATACTTATGACGTGGAGAAAAGCTCATTGTACAAAGCATGCATATTGTCATTTAATAATCACATTCTTAGATTTTGCAGAGAAAACAAATATCAAAAAATAAAAGTAGATAGTAAAAATAATGCTTCAAAATTTGAGAGATAGAATGAGCAGAAAGTTACTTAATCAGAATATTTTACCAAGACAGTTAAATTCCAGCTTTCACTTGGACTTTAAATTTGTTTTTCATTTCTTTTTATTTCAGACAAGAAAATATGATAGTTTAAACTTTATCACTCTGTATGTGACTTTATTTACTGTGTAAAAAGTTTACCTTGCCACTGAAGGTGACTATGATCCCTGAATTTGAATTTGCTTGAATTTCATAGTTGTGTTGTCATATCCTGCTATGGCAACATGAAACACCATTGATTGAAATTAACAATAAGGTTACTGCAATTGAGAGGCCTTGAAAAAGAATGAAGTGGGAAGGGAAGTAATAATGCAGAGTGCTAAAGGTAAATTGAAATATAACTGTTAGTATTGTGATAAGTAACTTTCTGCCCATCCTGTATATTAAAATTATTAATCTTATAAAAACAAAAGAAATAAAAAAGGAATACCTATGTCACATAATAGTTGTTATATTTGCATGCACATTTCAGTAACTAAACTTAACAATTACAATGTAACAAAGGTTATATTTAAGTTTTAAGACTTAACATTATGAAAACTCACTACAGTGATACCTCGGCTTAAGTCATTTCAAGTCATTTTCAAAGGTATGTCAGTTTTTCTTGAGCTTACATCAGCTGTTAAAAACATTAGATACGTCAAAACACTAAACTAATAAACACATATATTTAAATAAATCTAAAAATAATATGTATACTACACACATATCACAAAATCATCAAGAACAAAAAAAATAGCATAATAAATTATGTTCAGATTTTCTTATTTCAGAATCCTGCATTGTTTTCCTCTACAACATCGATTTTAAATTCAGACTTTTTTTTATATCTGTGCTCTGCTGTTAATGTTCTTTCAATTACATTTCAGTTGTGATTTATAATACATTTTTGCTCATGGCTCTGAACAAAAGCTTCAGTGCAAGGGCTAATGCTAAGCGTAAGGCTATATCACTGGAAGATAAGTTGAAAATCAAGAATACTGTACGTACATGTCATAAATACTATGGGGAGTGCTTATTTGCAGTTTATAGTATAGTTATTTTGACTTGAGTCATTTTTCGACCTAAGCCGTGACCTCTGGAACTGATTAACGACATAAGGTGAGGTATACCTGTATAATGTTTAGATAAATTTTTTTTACTGCTTATACAATTTTCCATAATTTTATATAAATATCTGATGGGTTTTCATAGTCTTTTAACAATACTTCTATATGAAGATGATAGAGATCTTAGTATAAATAGCATTGGTATTCATTGTTATGAAACAATATTTGATAAATGGTGAGAGTTATTTAATTTTTATGATGAATTTTGTCTTCAACTTTAATATTTGTTTTATGTTTATTTGATATTGTTTACATGGGAAACAAAAGTAGAGTTTCTGTAAATTAAAATTTACAAACTTATTTTTCATTATCTTGAATTTTGGTTTGTGAAGCTGAAACTGTTTGTTATAGGATACCATCATATTTTCCAGCATATGACATGAACTCATAATGTGGCAAAGAATATTTAGAGAAAAATCTAATAATATTCAATTAATGATCTATATCTACTTTTTATTTTTACATTACTTTTAGTTATAATCACATACAGTTAATTCTGGAGTCTTCAGGGTACAAGTCTATCAAAAAGGTGTGTTTAGGTGTTAGTCTAGTACCATTAAACACTAGCATTGGAGTACAAGACACAGGATAATTTTTGAAGATGTTTAAAAAAAATATGCACTGTATTGGGTGGGAAACATGATATAAGAATTTTCAGCTGCAACTATGAGAAAAATTCCAAATATGGCAATATTTGAAGAATGAATATATTTTAAAACAAAAATTAAATTCAACCGAGCTTCACAATAATATTACATACAGTTATATACTGGAGGTGTTATAAACTGCGTATGGTTGCAAAAGAACAACTGAAAACAACAAAGTATTGTCGGAAAAGATGACAAGATATGTTAAAATAAAATTCTCTGTACTGGCAGCATAAAGGGTCAAGGCGGAAGCTCTCTTTTGTGGGCAAGGAAAGTGACCTGGAAGATGGGGGTGTCAGTTGGGCCAGGCATTGATGCTTGTGCTGGATTGGTTGACCTGAGGCTACTGATGAATTCTGCGATTACCTGCCTACTGTCTTGATCGTTGCAAGCGAGTCCTTTTAAGCGGTCAGGGTGGATAAATGATTTGGTGTTTTTTGTCATAGTTTTGCTTTACTAGCAGTGTTTGTGATCAGTTCTGATCTTTAAATTGTATTTTATATTTTTGGAGGGGATTTGCTTTCTGAGTCAGATGTGATACTTGGAGTCCCTGTACAGAGAGCAACTTTTTTATTTTGCTTTCATGAACTTCACATCTGGCCAACAGGTTTTGATGTGGAGAGAATTAGAAAGAATTCTAATTTGAAGCAGAATATTCCAGAGGCATTAATAATATCTTGAATTCTTATGAGATCAAGCATTGTCAGCCATTATTAATTCTTCAATTGTATTTCACATCAATCCAAAAACCATTTGTTAGTTGATTGTTTTTGTTTAGCAGCGTATCAAACTCTATGGGATATTTAATGACGAAATCTAAATATTTTGTATGCAATTTTATTTAATTTTTGGAGATAAAAATGGTTTAGTGATAACTGTCTTACTAATTAACCCATAGCTGGAGAAGAAGAGATGGATTCATACCTTTCCCAAGAGTATTTGTGCATAAGTGAGTACAATGACTATGACTGGAATTGAAACTCAGTTCTCAGATTAACAATTTCAAGCCATTATCCATTGCAGCATACACACATCAAAGCTTACAGCACCTGATATTTCCAAGCAGTCACCCATCTAGGTATTGACCAGGCCTGATGTTGCTTAGCTTTAGTGATTGTATGGGAACTGGTTTTTCAACACAGTGTGACCATAAGCCATTTGCAAAAGAGTGCATATAAGAAATAAGCTTGTACATGGAAAGGATTTTTTTTATTTCCATTCCACTGTTTAATAAATGAATTGTTGGGATAAAGGGCAACTGAAATTAAAATGAAAAATATTTGCCAAAAATTAATCATAATAGAAAATACTTCAGGTAAGAAAAAAATCAATTACAACTACCAGTGTAAATAAAAGTAAGTGAAATTAAGATGAAACTGTTGGATATCGGTTGAGGAAAGACCTTTGACCTTGCTTTTGCTACATCAGTGTGCAAGCGGAAATCTGAACTGGTGATAACATAAACAGAAAATACATCCAGTGGCTTGAATAAACAGGGCGCACAGGTGTCCTGAGTGGAAGGAAATGCATGCTTACCTGGGCGCATACCAGAAGAGGCATGGCCGCACAAAGTTGCGTAGGTGACATGCCAGAAGAAGGCATAGCCACGTGAAGTATGCAACTTCATGTGGCTATGCCTTCTTCTGGTATGTCCAAATGTTATAAAACTAGTCTGATTCTTGATCTGGACATAGAGGTTGGTGAGAGGTTTACCAAAGATTTTTCTCTGTCAATTCCAGTGTGCACAATCCTAATCTCTTTGATTTTCCTTCACTCTACCTATTCACCACAACTCAAACAATAAAAATATTTATATATTTTTATATACAAGTGCTCAGCAGCAATAAATACTTGTCAAAAATTAGTGGTTGCAGGAAATAAATTATTAAAACAATCATTGATCCCAAAATAAAATCTGCTATTTCTATCTTACATTTTAATCAGCTACACCCACTTCCGCAACTCAACAACAAAAAAAAATCAAAACTAAAAATTTCCAATCTGTAACAAAAGAGAAAATCATCAACCTCAGAAAAGAGTTTGTGTTTTGTGCATGGTCTGCCGAAGGAAAATTAAAGAAAATTATTAGCAAAAAAGGTGCTACTTTAAGTATCAGAGAAATTATGCTAATGTTTTTTTCCTCCCCATTTGCCATGGCCAATTAGAAAAAATTGCTTGGTGAATAAAAGCTGTTGCTTTTACTTACGGGACAGAATGATTGTGAGTTTGGTGAGTGATTTCTGGCCCTGTTTTCATTACAACATTGCCTGCTGGACTGTTCACTACAGATTTGCAATTGACCTTAGTGTTGGCACACTAATTTTTTTTTTGATACCCTAAACACAATCAAAACATTATAAAGTTAAAAGCTTTATTGGGTGAGTGAATGGTTTCAATAGTTTACCTTTTCGCAATCTATTTAGAAACTAATTAAAAAATAAAATCAGTTACAGTTGTCAGAATACAAGAAAAATATTTTGCACATTCAATATTTCCTTTTCTTTTTGTTTTACTCAATAAATCTCTTTTGTATCTAATTAAATACAAATGATATTACACAAAAAGAATTCAATTGAATGCATTATTCATGATTAGAGACATATTTGAATGTGTTGGAAACAGATGATATGAAAATACTTCAAATTTTGTTCAGAACTTTTGACAATATTAATCTTAGCACTGAAAAAAAAAGTCACTACCTAACAAATGTCTTAATTTAATTTGTTTATTTTTAATAAATGGAAATGTTAAAACTATTTCAATTTAGAAGATAGAACAGTATTTGCCAGCACAAAATATTTTTACATGACACTTAACTAGGATTCATTCACAACATAAAGCATGCATAAAAAGGACTGAAAAAGTGTTTATGTTGACAATTAATTATTAAAGAGACAAGAAAATAAAAATTTATTGTAATGATACATTGCTTTTAAATCTATACTAATATTGGAAATTTGTGAGTCAAATCATACTCAAATGACTAGACTCATTGACCTAATTATTAGCATGATATGGATTATGCGATCCAACTGAAGGTAATGCGAAGTCATTAAAAGTCACCAATAAGGACACCCAAATGGATCAATTTCTAGCAAAATTCATTAAAAGACTGAGTTAATTATGAAATACAAAAATGTTTTTGGTCATGCAAATAGTAGAGACAGATAAAATCAAATGTAATGACCAAAGTTATTGGAAGTCATTGGTTGCTGAATTAATTGGTGAGAGTTATGATCTGTATTGCAACAAAACAATTAACATTTTTGGAGGTAAGATGGTACATGGAGGTAACTTGGGAAGGAAAAGATATAATATGTGGTGTTGACCTTCAAGTTCATTGGTGGTTACCAAAAGTCAATTTTGAATTGAAATAGCTTCTTTTTATGTCAAACAAAAAGACATAAAAGACTAAATAACTTGATTATTTTTTTTTGTAAAAACTTTTTTCAAGCTTGATAAAAATTTTCAGGCACAGTTCTAAAATTTTTAGGATTAAATTTGATTTTTTTCAGCTGTTTTAAAAAAAGATAAAAACAATGGCCCAAAGCTATAGAAACTATAAGTGAAGCCTCCTTGCTTCAAATAATGATGCAGCTGAAGATTATTTGGAGGTGAGGTTCTGCTGTACAAGTCAAGTGATACAATTTGGAATACCCCGGATGCTGTTCAGAGCCCAACTGAGTTCCTAAATTTTTTTATTTTTTTACCAAACTCATCTACCTGTCAATCAGTTTATTCCACATCATTAAAATAACCATCCTAACTGGGGTTAGCAAAAGAAAGGATGTGTTAATTCTTAGGCCCACCAGTATTTCAAAAGACTTTCCTTTTGAATTTGATTTGCAGTGAGGCTAAGGTTTGATATAATCATCAACAAGACAAGACCAACCACTCAAGATTGCTGACATCAACCCGGGCTTCACAAACCACATTTCCCATGACCAGCTTTACATTGTTGCTTCTCGGGTTGGATAACCAAAACACCTTTTCACCCAGTAGAAGAAGCACTAATGCTGAGTACTCTGAAGATCTGTCAAACAAAAAGGCGATATTATATCATTTTGTTTTTTTAGTGTGGAACATTAGATTATTTTTTTGTAACAGCTACTTTTGCATATGTAAATTATCTTTTCTTCCAGGCATTACCAGGTATCCTTGCTAGTAGATATTTAACAAGATTCATTAAGATATATGATTTAGGTATGTACACGTCAATATATGAGCAGATGCTGAAAAGTTCTCATCCTAACATCCCGGCTTATCAAAGATATTTGCACCAATTTTGGAGTGATGTGTGCCTGTACTCAAAAAAAAAAGAAATACTTATCAATTATATTAAAGTTAGGGCTTACCAAGTTTAACTTTGAATTAAAAAAAGACTATTTATGTCTAATTCCATCAATTTAACATTTATCTTCTTTTATTTTTGCTGAGCTTCTATTTTTTTTCTGGTTGATATACAGAGAAAGAGAGAAAAAAGAAACATACTTTGAATGTCAGCCAGAGACAAGAATACAAGTACAAATATGCAGATATTTATTTTATTATAAGCCACATAAATGTTGATTATACTGGTCAGTTGTTATTGACTTCATCTTTTATCCATATTGTCAAGGCAAAGTTAAAATTAAATAAAAACCAAGTATATATATATATATATATATATATATATATATTATTCATAGATTTTCATTTGTTAATAAATACTAAAACAATATTCATTTACAATTAACAACAAAGGATGAAAAAGATGAAACATTATTGTTAATGGGATTTATACTAATGAAATTTCTTAAAAATGTGAGCTTGTGGTAAAAAAATACAATTTATACATAGAGATAACAAATTAAAATCAAATTTATATAATTATTAGAAAACATATATCTCTAATTACACACCAGTTTTCATCTAGCTAAGTCATACACACAATGCAGTCTACTCGAAACAAATTTAAAAACAAACACAAATATACCATTATTGACATGACTCTAACTTGCCAAAAATGTCTACAACTACGTTGTCTGCATGTTTCCCTTTTAGAGACTACAAGGGAAGCCAAACAGCAGGGCAGAGAGCAGAGAAAGAGACTTCAAACACATACGCTAACCATAGAGGCTATCAGGAGAGTGACTAACTGCTCGTCTGACCATTAGGTTCTGAAAATGATCTCCTGTGAACACAGAGAGAGAGAACAATTTTCACTATCAATGCGACAAGCCCAAACCGAAAACCAACAAGCAAGCAGCCGGGTTAAGCATACACCTTTTTCACACTCTCATTTCACACACTGTACACCCTACATTCGAATGCTACACTATACAGAGATGTTTTCATATCTTGTAAATGAAAATAAATTTTTGTTCATTTCTCCAAACCAGTGTCTAATTTGCTTCTTTACTCCAAACAAATTTCACCTCAGATCAAACTTGTTATAATTTTAGTGAGATTGTGTTTTGAAGTAAAGAAAAACAAAAAGAATGTTTCTTAGCTACCGGAATGAAAAGTAAACAATTTCAAATGGAGAAACTGAAAATAAAATTTAATATAAAAGTATTCAAGTTGAAAATTTATTTAAATTTAGTATCTTTTTCATTTGTTGCATTGTCTTTGAACTAAGCATAAAAATAATGTAACATCATTTTTTTTTTATGATTTCACCCCAAGAAAGGCAATAAAGCCACTAAGATGCAAGAGTTACTGAGTGTGAAAGAATCTGAGAAAAAAAAAATCAAAGAGAAAAAACAATAAAAGAACAGGAATTAAGATGACAGTAGATAACAATTAACATTGCATTTAAATTTGTGAAGATCAAAGTTGACTGGAAAGAAAGAAGCTAGAAGAGAGTTCCATAAAGAAACAGCACAGTTACATCTAGCAATTTCATCTGTAAAATGAGACCTAGTTGCCAATCTAGTAATGTGCTTAAATTTGTGAAATTGAGGTACAAAAGAGGAAAGCTCATCAGAACAATTACCATGAAAATATTTATAGAAAAGGCACAGAGAAACTATGTTATGGTTGTTGGAAAGTGACTGAAGCTGAGATGCCAGGTCAGGACCAATAACATTGCAGATTCTTCTTTGGATTTCATCAAGAATCTCTAAATGCATAGCCGAAACACCAGACCAGATGTAACAGCAATATTCAAT